GCGGCGCTCCGAGCGGGGTCATCTGGCAGTCTCCGGGCCACCTAAATTAGGACCCGGAGACTGCCAGATGACCCCGCTCGGCGCTAGGCATCGGGGCATTTTGACAAGTACTTGTCAAAATGCCCTGTATCGGGCCCGATTCCGATGCTAGCATCGGTATCGGGACATCCCTATTAATAATAATATTCTACGGGATATATATACCGCCAAAAGTCTGCACAGAGCTTTACAAATAAAGGAACAGTCCAGATACAAAACAATTCAAGGCAAGAGAGTTAGGAGGGCTCCGCCCATGAGAACATACAATCTAAAAGGTATACAGAATGTTATAGCTGTGAGGGGATGAGTTGATAGAGAAACATTTCAGTTGTTAGGTAGAGGTGAGATAGGCTTCCCTGAAGAGATATAATTTTTTAGGGAGTGCCTAAAAGTGGACAGAGTAGAAGATAGCCAGAAATATTGGAGTAGGGGGTTCCAGAAGATGGGAGAGGCCCTGGAGAAGTTGCGGAGATGAGCATGGGAGGAGGTGATGAGGGAGCTAGGTAGCAGGAGGTCTTGAGAGAAGCAAAGAGGATGGTATGGTTGATATTTTGAGACTAGGTTGGTGATGCATCTCGGGGAAGAGTTGTAGATGGTTTTGTATGATGATATTAGTATATTAAAGTTTATTTGTTGGGTGACCTGCACCCAGTGAAGGGATTGGCAGAGAGGGGTGGTGGATACTGAACAGTTGGTAAGGCAGAACCCACAGAGTTCCTGCATGTCAATAGTACTATTACCTTAGACACATTATAGACTGAGTCAGGCTCTCATTAGATTATCAGCTTCTAGTAAATATACCCCCACCTTCTTAGACCTCCGTTTTAGGTGAATCTGTATTCATTTGTTAAGCTATCCACAGTCAGCATAAATATTTGACAAATTGGGTACTTTTTTTATCACAAGGACTTTACTAAGAACAAGGGGAGAGCCGCTGCATAGATCAACAATGAAATAAAACATTTTTTATTTAGAAAGGGATTAGAACGATTTAGAAAGGGATTCTTACATGGGGATTTTCCTTTGTGAAATGCTTATCACATAAGGTAGTTATGGTGAAACCATCAATGATTTTTTAAAGGGACTAGCGATTTTACTGCAACTAATAATTTACTAAAGGCTTAGAGAAAAATATTTTATCCATAGACCTGACTGACCTTGGGAGAAGGGGCGGGAGGCGGTCAAGATGGACTTGATCATGCTGCATATTATTTCCTTTTTTTTTCTTTTCAATAACTTTTATGATTCACCTTTTACTAGAAAAGAGGGAGACTGACTGCTGGAATCTCATTCATTTCCTTCTCTCTCCATCAGCCCCCTAATGTGTACTTGGTATCTGTTATGTGTTTTGTTAGTGCCAGATATATAATATGTTAATAAACACAGTTTTTATGTTCTATGTTAAACAACTATGACATAACTAAAAGTATTCTAAAATCTCCAGTGTATTTAGCAGAAACGTATACAGAAATTGTTTTTGTTATGCTAAAGCCTTACAGCATTAAACATAACCCATCGAAATTGATTGGTTAGCTTGTTTTTCTGCTAGGAAATTAAAAGCTGAAAAAGACGATGATCCCATTTCCTTTTTATGCTCTGTGTGACATAACAATTTGATAAAGCATTGGCACAGCGTTGTTGAATTTAATGTCTGTCTTTATCTCTTTTCCAGGAATAGAGTTGTGCCCTCCTGGTCACAGATTCATGATCACAATGGTGGCCAGTTTCATTGGAATGGCTGGGCAGTTTCTTTTGCCAGGTTTGGCAGCTCTCTGCAGAGACTGGCAGATCCTCCAGGCTGTCATCATCTGCCCTTTTATCTTGATGCTTTCCTACTGGTAGTAAGTTATCCCTTTCTTTTCATCAATGAATATCAAAAACTATAAAAAATCATATTAATTTTTTTTATTTGCAGGGTTTATTGTATATGTATAGTTTCCCGCTGTCAAATCTAGAAACATGGTATCACCCTCAAATCATTGAATTCTAGATTATAGACTATAAAATATATTTTCCTACTGCTTGTCAGTTGACTCAATTTCTAAAAAAAATATACCCTGTGTAATAGTTAACAATCAGTAGTAGGAAAGAGCAAAACTTAGTTTCAACTTTCCCAAAGTTTGAAAGAAAATTGGGAGATTTCAGTAAAATGTCACTCGTTTTGGCTAAATACATTGAAATCAAGGGGAAAAGGGGAAATTCAGTATTTGGACACCAAGTGACAGTACCCTGCAGTGCTAGCAAGACCAGATATGTGGAACTACACAGCGAAAACTGGACTCGGCTCTTAAATGAAGCAATACAATTTATTAGGAACACAACACACACGTAACATAAAACAAGAATACAACAACCAATAAAAAAACTAGTGAGAACACAAGAAAACTAGTGAAACTAACAATATAAACAGAACGAAAACTCGGTTAATGCAGGGACAAATGGGGGTACAATAGCTAATGTATTGGCTGCATCTCAATGCTGGCCTTACCGGAACAGCAGCATTTTAGCCAATCAGAAGTGGTGGACTGTGCCTCCCAATAGGAGGGAAGACGACTCCGCCTTCTTTTTAATCAACAATAGATTAAGCTACTGGTGAAGGGGAGTGTTGCAGCATGCTTCAGGTGGATTGGTGGAATGTAAGAAAGAGAAGTGGATACACTGTCTGTTGGCTGGAGGGGTACATTGGATTTGTTGCTGATGAAAGGGGATAATAGAGGGATCTGTGACTAGAGAGGCAGCTGTAATAGAGGGGCATCTGTAATGGATTGGCACACATGCTGCTGTAATTGACGGTGGGACAGGACAGCTGCTCTAGGAGGGGGCTGATGGCTAGGTGGGACACTGTGTCAGATAGGGCGGTACTGTAAATGGAGAGAAGCACTATGAATGACTGATGGTGGTGGTGCTATGGCTGATCTTAAATTCAGAAATCAGAGAAAACTATCCTCTACATTAATCTTTAGGTTCCAACAAATGCATTGGATGTTCTGTATGACATTTGCTTTTACTGCGTAAACATCAAACACTTGCGAGTGCAATTTAATTCAGAATTTTATTTGTTATCTCTGAAAACATTAAAAGCACATAGCAGAGTCAGAGATGGCTTGTTTTGAAGCCCCAATGGACCATAGCAATTTTGACATTTCTTCTATGGGCCCTTTAATTCGGTAATAACTACGTCATTATTAAGGTAACAAACTAATACACATTTTTTTTTTAGGACTTATTTTGGTGATATTGCCTTGTAAAAATTTTTTTAATTTTTATGCAATCCGTAGCATAACAAAATACAAAAAAATGAGTGTTACTGTAAATAAAAAGTAAAATTTTGTGCCATTTAAAATAACACTAACATGATTCTGAAACAAAGCATTGAAACGTTATTTACAAATGAAAATAAAGCTTTCAATTTGTTGTGCCACTAAAAAAATGAACAAATGAAAGAAAGAAAAATGAAAAAAGTTTAAATATTAATAATTAGCAAAATAGAATAAAAAAATATCAGTAGGAAAATATTAGGGGAAAAGGGGAAGAATTAGTTCATTAGGGCTGATTATTGTAAACTAAGGGATAATAAGGGGCTAAATAGGAACACATTTACCTAAAAAAACTTGACAGACTGCTTTAACTGACATCATGTGCAGATCAAAGCTTTGTTCTGCAGATTAATGAATCAGAGGAGATACAAAAGTAACAATGTTGTATCTCTCTATCTTGTGTCTGAACAGTGTTTATAAAAACTGTGTCAGAAGTTCCATTTCTTTGCAGCAGCTTCTGTATTTACTGGCTATCATTTGGACAGTTGGGAACGGCTGGCAGGTGGCACATGCCCCGTGTACTTCAATGAATTTGTATACGTGTGTAGTTTGCCTAGTGTCCACAACTGGTTAATGTCTGAAGTCTGGGCACAGGTGCACATTAAGGCAAATATCACCCAAGCTACTCCTGGAGCAAATTGAGAGGTTTTTTGCGTCTTTGAAATGTCTCTGATGGCAGAATCAGAAATTAATTTTGACAAAATCACTCAGCTAAGTCTAGTAGCAGCTCCAGGCTCCCTCTGGGTGTTGGCAGGCAATGACCGCCAAAGCATCAGGACACAATTTCTCTCGAACACAAAGCACAGTCCAGGTTCAGGTGCAGTCACTGATTGTCTTTGCCTGATCATAAGTTAAGGCGGACCGTACACGTATAGATTTCTATACGCTAAACAGCGTGGACGGAGAAATACCCCTACCGTTTATTGTTTTTAGATAGCCTGCGACTGTCTGAATATTGGATATAATTAGATGCAGTCACTGTTTGGCTGACCATTTTCCACCCGGCTGCTTTGATTTGCCAAACTACAGCTTGAATTTGTGCTGTTTCAGTAGGAATCGTCCAAATTTTTAGACGTGTATAGCCAGCATTAGACAGAAAACCACCACCATGGCTGTGTTCCAGTACTGCAGTGAAGATAGTACATGCAGTGGTGGGGAACACACACAATTTAGTCCTTTTTATGGACAGAATTACCAAACTATTGATAAACTTTGTATTCATTGTGAACTTTATTTTGTATTCATTTTGAATGTAGCACATTATTTTTTCTGCCTTCTCTTAGGGCCCTTTAACACCATCATGCAATGGGCTGCAGTGCACACATTTGTGCCTTGAGGCACATTACGTTAGGCAATGCCAATCAAAATGTACAAGTAAATGTGTTTTACAGTACACAGAACAGCAAAAAGTTTCCCAGCACACTCACCAGCCAGCATGCAAAAAAAGCCTGTCTAACCGCTAAGTTTAAAAACAGAGGTTTTAGATACACGTCTTCTGCAGTGCAGAGAAACTCAACACACAGATCATATTCACCTGTGCATTGCATTAACCTGCAGGGTTCATAATGTGCATTATAGTGTGAACGAGCCCTTATTCTTCTACTTTTCCTGCCATTAAATAATCACTTCACTTATCTTTGAAGCATATTTCCAGAGTCTCTGAGATGGTTGATGGCTACAATGCAATTTGAAACTTCTAAGAAGCAAATTCTTCAGGTGATTCACAGGAACAGAGTGAACACAGAAATTGATATCAAAGGAGTGATCCCAGGTGGGCATTGTGTGCCATAGTAAACATAATGTAGTAAACTGTATATAGGCCTATTGTTGTTGTTTATTCTGCATGTGGTTGGTTGTCATGCTAATCCAGCAGCTTCAGGAATTTATTAGCCCCTACCTGAATCAAATATGGAGATCAGGAGTTCTGACCAACTACATGCTTGTTCCAAATTATTGACTCAAAATGCTGAAGCCAGGCAGCTTGCTTTTCAGAAAATAGGTCATCAGTGGCAGCCAGCATATTTCTCTGAGTACAGTTTGGTGTGTTGGACCATGCAAATACACATTTAAAAGCACATATGTACACTGGCAGTTGGGCTGTGATTGCTTTTTCTTTTGCATGTTTGACATGTTTTGTGGGTCACTGTAGTGGTTATTAATTTCTGTAGTGAAGATAGGAGCAGTACACGCTACTGTGCTGAATATACCAAGACAAAACCCAGAGGGGTTAATTTATAAAAGTTCCTATACTCGTCAGCACCATCTAAGGGTGCTAGTGCCTTGTGAATGGAAACTTTTATAAATGGACCCCAAAGCCTTCTGTTGCCGGTACACTTGTTTATTTAAACCACAAAGAAGTCTTCCGAAATAGAAGATACAGTAAATTTATTGTGCAGCCAACCTCTAACCGTAAACTGTCTTAGTTCAGTGTGCTTTATAAATCAGCCACAATCCAGTTAATCAACATCCCCACCAGTAGTCTTCAGTTAAGGACTGCTGCTGTCTGCATTAGGGCAGTGGGCTCTCTTCAGTGTTCCAACACGCTTCCTGCTATGTCTGCCCTATAGCTCTGCAATCAGCAGTGCTCATGTTTCCTTCTGATTGACTTGCCAGGGGTGTTGTCCTTAGCTGCAGACTACTTGAGGGAACAGGTTGATTTATAAAGCGCACAAAGTGAGACATCTTACCGTTAGTTGTGGGCTGCACAATACATTTATGAACTCTTACTGAAAATAATCAACCGGGTTTCAAGCAGAATTTGTTTTTACAATTTATGGCTAAAAGTATGTGAAAAGTACTCCCAATTATTGAGATGAGGTGTTAACCTTCCAACATTGTACCGTCAGTTTGGGGAAGGTCTTTTTTGTTCCAGCATGACTGTGCACAAAGCTAAGTCCATGAAGACATGGATTGATGAGGTTGGTGTGGAGGAACTAAACTGGAATGTTGATTGCAAGTCTTCTTATCCAACATCAATACCTGAAAGTATTCATAGGTGCTCATAAATGCTTTTTTGGCTGAATGGACACAAATTTCCACAGATACATATCAAAATGTGGTGGAATAATTTCGAAAAGAATGGAGGCTGTTAATAGCCTCAATTCGAGAATGTCAGCTCCATGCCAATGCTCATGGTTTTGATGTGATATGAAACAAATTATATAGGTGTGATGGTCAGATGTCCTCTAACCTTTGGACATACAGTGTATATTGTACTAATGCTAGGTGTTATGGTATTCACCATATATAATGCATGCGTATGATTGTTAAATGTCTGTGAACTCTTAATAGATGTGTTACTCTATTGCAGAATTGGAGAGAGAGCTAATCAGAAGACCAAAAAAAGTTTGCATTGTGAAAGTGGTGGGAACGAGGAACTTGTGGAAGAATATTCTTGTTCTCTGTGTGAATTCGTAAGTATATCAAAGGCATTGGCTGATGATGTCATTCTGCTAGGTGGATAGCTATCTGTCTTCTGCATGGTTCTAGTGAGAAATGTTCCCAATCTTGCATGTCTTATTCCAGTTTTCAAATATGCTGCTCATCTGTAAATATCCCTCTTTTGGGATAACCCAGTAATAAAGAGGGAGTTATATAATCTTAAGGAGTTCTCACAAACCTATAGGCCCGTCCGTATTAGGTAAAATGTTGTATACTTGATGCCTTATTCTCTTCTCCCAAGTGTACAGTTCAGCTAAAGAGGGTTTAGTTTTGGAGCTTCTGTCATTTTGTTTTCATATTTTTGATCACGAGCCATACACCATTCCCCCCAAACATATACTTAACTTTCCTTCACTCTTCCACCACTGTGTTTAGTGCAGTAGGCCATAGAAAATGCTCGGTTTCTCTGAGTAAGGAAGAGCATGTTACTCCATGTGACAGCACTGGGCCAATCAGTACTTTTACACGGGAGTCTATAACCCTTTGTAATCTAAGACTCCAGTAATTCGTAGCTTACACAGGGTTTTGCTTTCCCTGAAAGAGTGGTGAAGAAGCAAAATCAAGGTAAGTGTATGCTGTTATGAAGACCTAAATTACACTGAACCCTGATTGGCAAAGCACAAGCTCACTTAGGCCCCGTTCACACCATAGCACATGTGTTAGAATGCATAACCCTCATGCGCTGGCATTTTTAGCTTGCGCTGTTCTGTGCTGCTCTGCAATACATTTTAACACATGTTGCAATGTGTTTTGGATATTTTTCCTTCACTATTAACATACACTTCATTTGTGACCCGTTGTAGTGGGTAAGAAACGCACTGCAGGAAAATGTGAAATGTCCCTTTTTGTTTTCAGTGCACACTAACACATGTTGTATTGCATTGGGACTGTGTTCGGAAATGCACCCTACCCTGCTGGACTGAATGAGCCCTTTAAGTAGTAAAACACTATAGTACTACAGTACATATGTCCTCTTCGTTGGCTAGATGCGTTGTTGGTTAATGAGTTGCTACATAACAAGCCTAAGTTGTGCCATATTAAACAAAACACCCTGCTGCGGGACACCATTATAACATGGAGAGAAGTTAGGAAAATCTATGGTCTTAAGGGCACAATATCCCCACTCATGCCTCTGGTTTCGGCTCCTGCATTTCCCATAGGACTTACGTCTCAAACCTTCAGACACTGGCACTCCGAAGGCATACAGACCCTAGGCAATTTGATCAATTCCTGAGGGCTCTGCATGAACTTTGCGGAACTTTCAAACACCGTCTATTGCCTAAACACTTTCTCCAATACGCCCATATCAAACATTTTATAACCACCCACTTGCCCTCTCAAACTCAGATGGGACTGATGTACCTTTCCTTCGTCTCCTAGCCTCCCCACCCACAAAACTGTCTTTGTCTTCGCTATACCAATGCCTTAGCCTTACCTATCGCGACTCAGAATCATCTATACCTACATATGCTATCAAATGGGCGCCTTTGTTACAACTCACGCCGGCAGACACCCACCAGCTCCTACTTGATGGCTTCCATCTCTAACGATCAATGTCGAGAAACGCATTTTAAAATTATGCATAGAGCCTACTACGCTCTGAATTTTCGTCCTTCCTCTGGCACGGACGACTGGATCTCTGAATGTCCCAAATGTCATCTCACACACCCTAATTTAATACACCTCTTGTGGCAATGCCCACATATCCAAACACTCTGGCATCTTTCGCTACAATATATGTCGACACTATCAGGGATTCCTAGAGATTGCTCCCCGGCCCTATGCCTCTTTCATTCCCCCTCTGAATTGCCACAGACTTCGCAAACACCGCTATCACAATGGGAACACTACTGTATTTTGGCTGTCACAAAGAATATACTCATACATGGGCTCTCCCACCACACTCCTACGTTGCTGGAGATAAAGGTCACCCAACATCAGCTTATGTTACTCCATAAACTAGATACTAAGCATAATTTAGACTGCACAGATAAGTTCTTCCATACTTGGACACACTTCCTGACATCTGAATGCACACTGAATCAACTCAAGGATGTTATGTCTCTATTTAAACATTCCAAATGATACCTCCAAGATCAATCTACTGGCTCTTTGGGTAGACTCAATGTACTTTGACCTCAGCACACCTAGGCCCTGGTACCTCACAATTATAACACATTCAGGTACTGACGACCTATTCTCCACATTGCCACCATACTACCTTTAACAATCTGAAGCCCTTTCCGCACCCACATGCCCATCACAGTCTCGCACCCTTCATTTCCTGATTCTGATCCGTCTCACAAGCCACTCATGTCAACCACCTGAGTACACGTTATTGCAAGTGTAAGTTGTTACACATAAGTCAAGTATTCCAGAATTTGGTTTGCAATATCAATTTACACACTTTTGTTATGAAATAGCTTAGGTCAGTGACATGAGCCTAAAATGCTTTGCCATTTTGTTATGTTCTTATAGCACTGGATAATTTTACAAGTAATATGCAGACTCCTTTTATTCGGAGTCTTATTTTAGTCCATATCTTACGCTTTTGTATTGCCATACACTTTTCAATAAAAATCTACTTGGTGGAAAAAAAAAACAAGCCTAAGTTTATGGGATCCATGGGATGCAATGGCTTTCATTGTTTGTCACAAAGCCATTAAAAGTCTCATTATTTTACTTCTGTTATTCTTACTATGAAACCAAATGCCATGTGAGCAACAGTTTTCTCAGATATTTCAAAAATTGTTTTTCTATATGTAGATACAAAATATTATATAGTAATACTTTTGCTGCCCCATTTTTTGATCGCTACCTACATTAAGTCTTTGAATTATATTTTCTGGCATGTACAGGCTGACTGGATATGGGATACACCACTGTTTTGCCAAAAGTCTCATGGACCCTGAAGTCAATATGGGCACAAGCATCATGCACAACTTCTACGCCAACTATTTTGCTATGGCAGGGATTACACTGGCATCATGCCTGGCAATGTGCCCCGTTGTTGGATTTTTAGGGCGCAGAGGAGGATTGCTTCTATTCATGATTTTAACTGCTCTTGCATCTCTTCTTCAACTAGGACTTCTGAACTGTAAGTAACATATTAGCTGTGAATTGAGTACGTAACAAATCCTTGTCATTATAACAAACAATTACAATTGTGTAATAGAAACTCCATACTAATTGTTTTATAATATCTTTTATTGTAGATAGGTGTTTACTGCAGATTGTTAGGAATTCATGTTCACAGAGTATGTGTAGCAGGGCTCTTCAATTCTGAGTGGTTCTGAAGCTTATGTTAATGTTGAAAACCACATAGTGATGTGTTTGGGGATCGGAAATTCTGGATCTCATTGCTGATCCATATAAACAGACTCTAGCTGTCTAAAGGGGTTCTACATCTACATCTACATATACTGTATGTCATATCACAACAAATGACATACAGTATATCCTTTATCAACTATACTGCCTGGCCATAGAAATATCACCACCTGGATTTAGCTAAGCAAATTGGTAAGAGCTATAGGGGTGACTTCTGTTGGTCAGGTCTAGGTTCAGCAACGTTATGTGCCCGAAAAATGAGGTCAGCTGCCTACCTGAATATACTGAATGACCAGGTTTTTCCAGCAATGGATTTTTTCTTCCCTGATAGCACGGGTATATTCCAAGATGACAATGTCAGGATTCATCAGGCTCAAATTGTGAGAGAGTTGTTCAGGGAGTATGAGACATCATTTTTCAACAGATGGATTGGCCTCCACAGAGTCCAGACCTTAATTCCATTGAGAATCTTTGGGATGCTCTAGAGACTCTCCCGATTTTTCCATCATCACCACAAGATCTTTGTGAAAAATGAATGCAACTCTGGATGGAAAGCATAAGCTTATCGAAATGATGCCATGGCGAATGTGTGCCATAATCAAAGCTAAATGCGGTCAAACGAAATATTAGAGTCTATGACTTCTTTTTTGGACAGGCAGTGTATTTGCATGACACAACTAATAATTCCTTATGATTATGTATCAGTTTCCAGGCAATTATTCAGGTTCCAGATTTGTGGTCCAGTAATTGTATATGCAGATAAGCCAGGCAGGTCCCTTACTTTAAAAGGGAAGGCACAGGACATCCAAAGTGTCAGTGTATGGGATGCTACTGTGGGGAAAACACAGGAAAATGTACTTTAATTCTGACTGCTACCTGTTTAGACAATCAACCCTTTTGCTGCCTTTTTGTAGGTTCTCATTGTTGGGGGCTTTTTTGTTTTTAATTTAAATTTGTGGTTGAGGTAGCCTGTTACATTTAGCTGCTGTCTCAGTAATAGCAATCTTTTTTTCTCCAAGGTTTAAAATAAAAAGAACTTTTGCTTCAGGGAGTAGTATTTTGGGGTTTTCATTTATTTTAGCAGTATGTTTATATTTTATCTTGATAGGGCCTTTACTTTAGGTTAAATGACTTTTCCTGCAAGGTACTGTTTGATGAAAAAGCATGTGTCGCTACTAAATCTACCAGAGAAAAGGCTTCTTTTTTTTAAAAACTGAAATGAACCAGGTTGTGGTGCTGCTTCTGTATCTAAACCAAGTTAAGTGTAAAAAAAAAATCATTTCTGCAGCCAAATATGCCCTGCCAAAGTGAACTGTCACGAAAGACTGGCCATGAAAATTGTACTGTTCGCTTACACCACGTACAGCTTTAAGGCACCCCCAAGTGTGTTATTTGTGTATTTTCAAGGTTGTCCTCGAAGCTACATGGGACTACCTAGTCCGCCCATTTTGTATTGTTACTTGCCCTCATGGCACTGCCTAGCTTCCCTTTTCTGACTTTAGTTTGCCTATTAGCCCTAAACATGACCAGAATTTAATAACAGGATTCACCTCCCATAGACTTTATTGGATTTGCAGTTAAATTTGGGCTCACTGAATTTTAAACAGGAATCATTGAACCCTTGGCAAATTGAACCTGGGCAGATTTGCTCATCCTTAATTACAAGACCCCAATCAATATAATTTGATGAAAAAAACAGAGGCCAGTGTATCAAAAATGCAGCCTGTACATTCGTGCATTGGTGGGAACAGGTTCAATTAAAAGCAATGTATTTTATTTATAAATGGCAGATCGGTTGGTGAGAACAAGCACAGAGATTGGACTGCGATGTCCTCCACTTCTAGTCCTTCACGTCTACAAGCACAGTTATTAATACCAATAATGCTATCTGACTTTGAAACGGTCAATGTTCCATCTACAGGCCAAACTTAAATCTTATAAAGTTTAACCCTTGCTACTTTTGTGAAGATCGATTATTGAATAGCACAAAAATGGTGATATTCAAAATCTCCCCGCATCATTAAAAGAGAAATGTTCTCAGATGTGAGTTTCTCACAGATGGAGGAGTATAAATCCCTGTAGTAGTGATGGTCTTCTTCAATAATAAAAAGCCTACTCATTTCTTGCAAATAAACCTGCACATATGACTCATGACAGTGTGCAGCTAGAGAATCATCTCCATTTCTTCGTGTGCATTTCCATTGCAATTACATTCTATCTTTGGCTTCAGGGTTCATTAAGGGAGTCACTTCTGTCAAAGAAATTTAATCTGAATGTAATTAAATTTATATGCAAAGTGTTAAGTTGTTTAAGGTGATTGCACAATTTGATTAGATTTACTGATTTTTCTTTTTATTTACTTTTTTCTTTTTTTCTTTTTGCCTTCTTCCACACCTTCCTTTGGTGAAAAGTGATTGGAAAATATACTCTTCGTCCTGACACAGGTATGACATTGATTCTGAAATTCTTCCTTGGTGAACAGAATATTTCTGACAATGTAATATTTAGAAGTAGAAGTGACCTTGTCATTAAATTAAAATGGCCAATAAATGTGCCCCTGCAAAGGATAGAATAGTCACTTCTCCAGCCTCTGAACACTGCTGTGCTGCAGCGAAAGCGACACTTGAAGAATTCAACACTTCTGGAGGTACCAATATTTCAAGTCTGCTGCTTTGCTCAGTGGTTCCTCCTGCCATCCTCTGCGTCTCTACTATATCCTGCAGGGGTTGGCAGGAGAAGCCACTAGTCACTGTGGGGCACCAGGAATTGGACCTGCCCAGAAGTGCAGAATTCCGAAAAGTCTTCAGGGGGGTTACATTCTTCTTTGCATGGGGGCATATTTATTTTCTGTTTTATATTACAGTTTAATTGTACAATTTTACTTAACATTTACCATCAACTATGCAGTGTTACTACTTTACTGGATATATTGAACAGATTATTTTGTTAGAACCTAATACTAATAGTTGTTGGTAAATCTAAAGGAGCGTGTGCAAAGTTTGTACACTCAGATTATGATATGTGTGTCCAGCTGTTATCTAACATCACCCCTAAACTAAATCCTAGCACCAGACTAACTCATTGTTCTGCAAGCTCGCTTACTCACCTGTTACTGGCAGTGCAGGAGCTAGGTCCTGTGACACTCAAGGTGAAGATGCTAAAGTGCATCCGCTCCTCCCAAAAGATGAGTTGAGTGGAGCTTGAGGCCCCCTTCAGTGTTGTACTGCTTTAGTGCACACACATTAAAGTGACACTAATCTCAGGAGTTAAATCTCAAAAATACATTCAGGTACACTATCTATCAACAAAAATGAATCTTACTTGTATCACTCAGCTGTAGATCCTCATATTATCTCTGAATTGGTGCTGACACTGTCCTTCCTTTCTGGAGGGGGGCTACTTTGCTCCCCCATGGTCCCTGTGTGTGTTGTAAAGTAGACACCGCTCCAAGCTCGCTCCTGTGATGGACTACAATCTCACATTTAGTTTACTAATTTGTATTGAAGTTATTGTCCAAGGGAGTGAGCTTGGAGCGGTGGCTACTTCACAACACACACAGGGACCATGGGGAACAAAAGTAGACACCCTCCAGAAGGAAGGACAGTGTCGGCACCAATTCAGAGATGATTTGAGGATCTGCAGCCGAGTGATACACAAAAGGGATACATTTTTGTTATTAGTTGAGGTACTTGAATGCATTTTTAAAATTTAACTCCTGAGTTCAGTGTCACTTTAAGGTGCCGATGCTTTTTAATGGCCTGCCTAATGCACCAAAAGACACCAAAAAAGATGCATGTACTTTTTGTGGAACGCAATGCACTACAACACACGGTAATGCAAAGAGGTTAATTAAAAAAGATAGAGCTATTAAATATGTGGTTTACCTGTTTTTACCCCTTGAGACAGCAAGCAGGAGCAAAGAAGAGCCCTCAATCTATTGTGATTTAGTATAGCTTTTATAAGAGAACTGCTATCTGAACAGAAAGAGGGAAGAATGCAGTACAGTAACTTTACATTGTCTCAGTCTGTGGTAAAAATGTTTTTTTCGCTGGGAGAAAATAATGTATGATTACTGTTTCCTCTTGAATCCTTCACTGTGTTCAGCTAGCCATTGCATTTCTGTTATAAAACCAATACTTGCAATCATGATAAATCTACATGTGTTTAACCTACTAGATTGGGAGCATTGCTCTTCCTCCTTGTCAGGAAAAGAAGATCCATACTTACTTTCATTTACAGACTGTTTGTTCCTGCTGTCCTCCTCGGGTAATCTCGACAGGGCCAATCTTATAATGATACAGCCTAAGGCAGTTGCCTCAGGCAGCATCTCATTGGGTCACTTGGGGGTGTGTGTGGAGGTGTGCCTGCCGCCTCCTTTCCAGCCAGAGTGTTCCAGGTTTATAAAAGCTCTTACCCCGGTAACATGCAGCGCCAGCCGTCCCCTCCTCCCGGGCAGCGACAAGTGTAGGGACGCCCCTGAATCTAAACTACAGACAATTGCAAATCATTTGTCAGCACCGACTCTGGAAAAAGCTGATAGCTAATTAAAACCTGTGGCTGGACTCAGTGCCTCCCCTGACTTTCGGGTTTACTGGTCATTGCTAAGAATAAGGATGTCCAGCAAGCAATAATAAGGGTTTCAGGTGGCTGGAAATGTACCTGCATCTGCCATCCCCCACACCGTGCACTGCTGTAGCATGTTGCACCACAAGCAGCTGCCTGGTCTGCCTATGTGTCGGCACGGTACTGGTTACTGGGAGCATCCAGGCAGCTACCACTTGTTTCCAAACTCTTTTTCTAGTGATCTCTCACAAACCAGTGATTAATGTGCTGCTTGTGCCAGATGAGAAAGTCACATGTAACGATTTTGGTGTCAAAAAACAACATGATACAAAGTACAATTTCTAATTATGAACCATAGTATAACCATGATATGGTATAACATTCTTTTTTCTTTCTGTAGGCATGAGTGAGACTGTGAAAAATAAATTCTCCATCGTGTTCTCAATCATTGGCATGTTTTCATCTCATGCTGTTGGAAGTTTAAGCGTTTTTTTCTGTTCAGAAATTACCCCCACAGTGATCAGGTATGGATCTTTTGGTACACATATTTGTTTCAGAGCAAATCTTTTTTTTTTAGAAATTTATATATCTAATTTTCTATTAATTGAATAGACTCTGACATGTTCTGATTTGATTTCATTCTGGTTTCCCTGATATTTTTTCTTCTTCGTGTTACTCAACCATTGTAACCCTTATTGCACTGCAAAAAGTCTCTTGCTGAGACTTTTATGCCTTCTACGTATCATTCTCGATTGGTGACAACTTGTTGAGAGGAAGAAGAAGGAAGACATTATGTGGGCCACAGTATGGCGATGCCACAAGCTGTCAAAATATATATGGATAGCTATATTCAGGCAGTAAATCTCATTTTAAATAGGGGGAATGTGCTTGATCGTGTTTCTGCTTATGGCTACATTTACCTAAATTTCCAGATTACAAATTATTGAAAGCAGTGTTTTGAAATCTGGAAGTTAGTAAAAAATTATTAGACAAAAACAGCAGTGGGGACACACGTTTTTAGTGTTTCCAAGTGTTACTGAACTGTACCATAAATATTTTGTAAGTGTGCACTAGGTTTTGTGCCTATGAAGCATCAAATTTCAAGTTGAAGTAAAGTTAAAATGAAAAAAATTAATGCTGACAGGTAGGATTTCTACGGCAGAAGAGAATCTGCATGTACTTTCTGTCATAAATGCTCCCTTCCTATCCTGTCAGCGTTTGTGTGCACTGAGCCGCGCATACACAAGTCCTACTGGCTACTTTTCTTCCCCATAGTTCCTGTGTGTGGTGTACAGTAACCACCGCTCCAAGCTCACTCCCGTGATGGACTATAATCTCATGTTTAGTTTACTAATTTATTTTGAAGTTATAGTCTATAAGAAGCAAGGTTGGAGCGATGGCTACTTTACAACACAAACGTGAGGACCATGTGGAACAAAAGTAGCCACCCTCCAGAAGGAAGGACAGCGTCAGCATCAATTCAGAGATGATTTGAGGTTTTACTGCTGAGTGATACACAAATAAGATAAATTTTTGTCAATAGTTAAGGTAGTTGAATGCATTTTTAAGATTTAAAGGAGAACTATGAGGTTAAGTCTTTTCCCCATAGTTCTCCTTAGGGTAACGGGAGGACCCAAACTAGCATCCTCCCGTCACCCTAGGCTCAGTATACCGCGAGCTGTAGCTCGCGGTATACTGAGACGCCGCAGTATACCGCTAGCTGCTGCTCGCGGTATACTGAGACGCCGCAGCTGAAGCGGATCCCGACAATTGTGCCGGGATCCGCCCAGCTGCGTGACTGACAGCTGGCTCTGCCTATCTAGGGGCAAAGACAGCTGTACCAGCCCCCTACCCCGTCCGTTCCGCCAGTCAGCGCTGGCGGAGCGGGGAGGGGGGAATCCTGCCCCTCCCCTGTCACGGCAGAGAGCTGTGACAGGATCGAGAGGTGAGCGAACGCCGGTATGTGTTCGCTCACCTCCCGATCGCCTGAGCCGACCTGTGAAAGTCTCATTGTCACAGGTCGGCTAGAACTATGAGGTGAGTGAAAAGCACCCACCTCATAGTTCTCCTTTAACCTTCTTTTAGTGTCACTTTCACTTTAGATTCATTAACAGGAATGTATCTTTTAAGCTGTAGGTCCACCTATTGAAAACTCGCAACTTACCATCTATATTGAAACCGAGGAGTCTTTAATATATGGGGAAAAATTTTAAAATCTGGCTATTATGGGCAGGAATGGCCCTTTTTTTCTTTAAGAATTGTATTTGTCCTTGAAAGAGCAACCTGGGTCATAGAGGTGCTGATTTAGTCCTGGCCTGCTTTTGGTGACTGTACGTTTGTGGACTATCTTATTTAAGTATCCAAATATTCCATGTTTAGTATCTGTTCTCATTATTTGTAAAATTGTTCCCCTTGAACTATCAAATAATATTTTTTTTGACTGATGCAATAAAACTTTGGTCTGTTTAGTTGAGTCATGTTGCTTTGAAAACTCACATATAACAAAGTGTAAACTGACACACCTGTTTTATTTCTGAGGCATACTCTAAAATGGTTACCAGGTTAACATGACTCACCTGTAGCCTTTCCTTCTACATTTTTAATTATGATTTAGATACTCTATAGTTATCCTTTTATTGCCTAAAGCATCCTCTCCCTACAAGGCTAGAGAGTCCGGTATGGTAAATAAACGCAGACAAAACAAAGCATACAAGTACTTAAAGCAAACCTTTTAACAAAAATGAAAATATGCCTCATGTCATCCCTCCCCACTTTAATGAATTAGATGCACCTTTTTTTCTCATGCTAGCTTCCTCCATGCCAAAAAAAACATAGATCACTTCCATGCCCCTATTATGAAGAAGCTTCACTTGCCAGAATTTATTTGGCTCCTTTAAAATAAGGCCAGAAATTGTTTCCTTAAACTCCTCCAAGGTTAAACTAAATTCACTATCATCTGCTCCCTAGCCGTTCACTGTTCACAATTGCCCACCTAAGAACCATTACTCAGCTTTCATGCTCAGGTGCAATGAAAGGCAAACAGATCTGTATACTATAAAATCCCCTAAAACCTTTACTATTAAAACTCTCACATTAAGTGGTGCTAGCCTCTGCTTCAGTATAGCAGTGTATATACTCTGGAAACTTTCCTTGCCTTCCGGAGCCATGTTGAGACTTCTGCCTAATGATGTCAGTCAGTCCCACCTCTCAATGCGTTTTAGCAGAACAACGTCTTTAGGAGCAGTGTTTGATAACAACTAGTGTTAGTGTAAATAAATGTATATATTTTATTCTAATTTGTCCCGCTTTTATACGTTTGTGGTACAAAGAATGGAGATAGTTATTTCCAATTTAAATAGAGGCATTTTCTTTCATTTTGTGGGTTATTATTTGAATGCGACATTCCAAACCTAACGAGAATGAATAAAGATGGAAAACAACTGTAAAAAAGTGTTCAAGTTGCTTTAACTGATGTTATATGCAGTTTACAGAACTGGTCTAAATACATTGTAATAATAATGTTACAATGTATTTATAAATGAGCCTACAAACACTCACTGCAGGAATCATTTGCAAAGATAAACAGAGCAGGACTTAAAGTGACATTAAACCCTCAGATTTTTTAACATAAAGCAATACTGTAATGTGCGCCTTACTGTAATCCATGGTTGTTTCCCTTCTCTTTGATGCTCTTCCTTTTAAAACTGTATCTGTTCTCATGCTTGGAGAGAACTTCCCTTTTCAGCAGACTGCCTTGTCAGACACGGTGTCTGTGTATCCGTTTGTATAGGCTGTAACCTGAGCCAGCACTACAGGAAGGGGCCCTGAGCTGAAAAGGGAAGTTCTCTCCAAGCATGAGAACAGATACAGTTTTAAAAGGAAGAGCATCAAAGAGAAGGGAAACAACCATGGATTACAGTAAGGCGCACATTACAGGATTGTTTTATGTTAAAAAATCTGTGGGTTTAATGTCACTTTAATGGTTTTACCAGCAGAATGACCATGTCAGAAAGGAGGACCAGGTTTACGAGGTATGCCCAAGGTATGGTACGACCACATGGTGGTATCATCGGGAACATGATCCTATTACATTTTTTAGGGCATACCTTGTCCCTCGGGGTCCACAACTGGTTAAAGGTACATGCAGGCACTGTATGGTTTCTGTACCTTCACTCTCATATCATCTGCTCTAATGCAACTTGGCACGCTTCATCTGTTGTTAATTGAAACCTGTAGTGAGCACATATGGAGAAAGTCATTGTTGACGTTTCCTTTTAAAAAGACTTGTTCTGTGGCTGGCTTCAGGGCTTCCTAAGTCCTAATGCAGACAAGGAGATCTGACTTCACTCTGACTCTACTGATCTGCGTGCTTGTTTTACATCAGCGTTTGAAATGTAGGTTAGCAATGGCATTCCCGTTATTTCTCTCATTACTGGTCTCCTTGGAAAAAACTGTTGACATTTTTTAATTTAGTCGGCAAATCTTTTCATACTTCTGTATTCCCACATTTTAGCTTTTAATAACGACAAGAAAAGTGACAGCTGATATAACGGCCTTATTTTTCCATAATCTTTTTAGGCCTGTTGTGTAATGTCAACAAAGCTTATTAGTTACTTAAAGCAAACATGAAGTGTAATATTATTGCTTAATCCATGCTCACAGCACTAAGCAGTCATTTCCGTGTGCTTGTACATTATGTTCTTTGTTCTCTTTTTAATGCCCTGACTCTACAGGAAATTTGATTTGCACAACAGGTACTCAACAGCTTCCTAGGTTGAGTACCTGGCCCAGCCCCTTCCAGCATCTATTTTCATCACATCACTATAATAAGTGGCTTCTGGCTTCACTAGCCAACTGTGAGGCTTAGAAGATGGAAGGGCAAGGCCAGTTACTCAAGCAAGAAAGCTAGGTTATTAATGTTGTCTGATCAGATTGCCTGTGAATTTGAAGAACCAGTATACCAAAATGGATAGGTAACCTGATGTTTAGGCATCTGGTGGTTGATTATGTGCTTGTATTGTACTCTGTCTTTGCTGTAAAAACAGAGAACGTCTATAAAAGACATGATCTTACCTGGAACTTACCAGAAGTGTCCTGACATCTTTTTAGCCCTGTTTATCATGCATGCACCTGGTTTCTTGCACACATTAGGGCAGAATTGCAGGCCTCCTCACTAGCAGTTAGTACTTTCATAAACTGTAAAAGCCAAAACATAGTTTTTTGTATTTTTATTTTGTGGACAGACATGTTCAAAGTCTTCAGAATTAAAACCCCACCAAACCCACCGTCAAACATCTACTGGATTAACCGATCATATGTATCTGGAGTAATGATAAATACAACCACTTTCCCTTGCCTGCGGGTGTATCTATTTAGAGGATATGGGAATAATAGAAAATGTTCTCCTGTAATTGCATCTAAAAGGCAATTTTAACAGTCAAACTGATTGCTATCTATCTAAGAATGCAGTTTAATTCCACTTGGTGCTGGAAAGCCCTCTGTGTGAAGATCTAAATAGGAATTC